GAAGCCATTCTAAAAAATGCCATTTCTTGTTATAATGTTGAGCCAGTACTCTCACATAATATGGTTGATGTATCTAAATAAAACGACGTATTTACTCCTTTACAGGAGTGTGAGCTACAAAATGAATGTCTAGTGGATCACTGTGGTATAATGGAGCCTGGCTGACAGAAGAGATATGTGGCATCTGTGAGACAGAGGTAAAAGACAGCAGTTGAAAGAGTGGACTTAAAAAGTTTGTGTGTCAATGGGATGATAGGGATGCAGACAAATGTATTTCCTAACAATTGTTGTAGCTTTTGCATAAGTTTATAGTCAAATGTAATACCTTCTAATAAATTAGTGCTGTAAGGACTACGTCATATTCAGTAGTAGCCCTTTTTAACTCTTCGAACACAGAATAAGGAAACATTTCTTCTCTAAGGGCAGCTCCTGGTCTTCTGACAATTGGGCATAATGCTAGAATAGAAGCATCTCCTTTCTTCAGAGCTTCCTTCACCCAGCTGTCACAAGCTGTCTGAACCTGTGAATCAGGATAAGGGAGAGCAACTTTAATTAGCAGAAACGGAGATGTGGATATAGTTGTTATTTTACGTTCCTGTTTTGGGCAGAATTTTTTTCATGAGTCACAATGGAAGGTGTGTCCACTGATGTTTTATTTTGTGTAACACTGAGTTGTTCAAGAGCATCTCCGCATAGCTGCCAAATTTTAAGTATTTGTATGGGAGCTCTAGGAGCTTCATGTAAGATATACCCAATTTTCTCCCAATCTGCGATCTGCAGGGAACCTGCATTGGGATACCAAGTGCAGCATTCATCTATTCCTTTAAGCAAGTGATTTAAGACAGAGGTAGACTAAAAATGATTCTCTTGGCACAGAAAAAACAAAAGCATGGTGAATAACCCCAGCTGAGGAAAAATTTTGTTTCATACTCACGCCTAGTAGAATCGGAAGTTGATGAGGTGTACCATAAGGCCTTTGCGGACGGGGAGACTGAGGGGATGAAGATCCACACTCTGGGACTGGGGTCCTGGGTTTTCAGCACCAACTGTTGGGAAAGATTGTCAGGCGCCTGCAGTAAACAAAGACACATGGACACTCAATGCAAGCAAAGCAAGGCCAGAGTAAAAAGGCTGCCGCCTTGCCTTTGGTCTTTATTTTTCTACATCTTGAGTGTCAGCCTTCTACTT